GTTGCACTTTTCTAAGCGTGTAAAATGGATAACTATAATGTATGGCGGAATACCATAGCAAGTGCTTGGGAGCACTTCGACTCGGCGCAGTAATATCATCACTCCTGAAAAATCCTCTCCCTCTCCGGAGTGATGATATTAATCCCAAAAACAAAATCAAGAATTCATAAAAGGCATAATATGACCCCTTTAAATATATCGTTTTGTAAGCAAGATGCACTAAAAGTATAGTTAGTAAATCAGGCGGCCAAATAAGGCACAAACAACTGAAATCTGCAACAAGCATTCCAGACAGATAGATAACTCAAGGTACTAACTTCACACAATCACAAACATCCAAGTGTGTGACACTCAAGCATGCAGAAAGTCTAAACATGTCAGCTGAATGTGACCTTGGTCTTGTCTTTTAAGAGCAGCCAATCTCAATCACACTGTCTGAGGGAATATTTTAAAGTTATAGCTTTATTCCAATTAAAATGACACTGAACTGACATGCAAAACAAGTTATTTGGTCTTCATAAAGGCTTCCTAGATTTATAGACAAAGTGTGCTAACAGTTCCTATACCAACACCGATACACTTATTCCTTACTGCCAACAGTTGTTCAACCAGACATCTGGTCAAACTCCTTTGTGCCTCAAATTAACGAGAACAGGTGGCGGGGAACAGTGTTATTTTAGTATCACTGAGACACTGTAAAAAAAAATCTGTTTTTATAGCAAACAAAAAAAAATTAAACTGTGGTTGCTAAAATAACTCAGTAAAAATGTAAACATATTTAAATAGCATCCTGTACATTTTACAAAATAAATAATTAAATAAAGAGAGAAATAAAGAAAATTAATTTTGCGGAAGAACGTTGTTTTGGCTTTGCGTGACTGCGGATGAATATGGTTATCCTACAGCTAATAAAACATTCACTACTAGGCTTACGAGATATAACCAGTTTAGATGGAAATACCTCAAGCTGACTAGATGAAGACATTGCTGTAGCTTTACCCATTAATAGACACAGTACTTCCTTGAAAATAAATTCCAGCACAACAATTGAATTAAGATTATTATAATTAAGATTATTTTAATAGTTATTTTAATCAAAGTAAGAAAAGCAGTTCCCTTTCAAGGAAACTAGCACTGCGTCGAATGACGACACTTTGGAGAACACCTTCAGTGTGACGTGTCTGAAGCCTGAAGGGAACTAGTCCAATCTTGATTGGTGTTGCGTCATGACGTCACTCGTGACGTTGCATGTGACGGTGAAGCAGAAGCTATACAAGGACGCCGGATCATAACAACGTCAGCTTTCTGGTCTTCAGCAAGCGTTCTATGTTGCCTTGTCTGTCTTATTTGGTGTTGTTTGTCAGTCACAAAGAACAAAATTTATATTATGGCGAGCAAGAAAGTTTAGTGGTAGTGTGCGTCCCCTTGCCCGGGCTATATGGGCGAGGGTGACACACACTCTGTGTCATGTGTTTGGGAGTGGAGCATGCACAGCGTGCTCAAAGGTGCTGTCTGTGCAAATTGTGATATGCTGCCTCTCAGAATCCTCCCCTCCCGCCTGCCCCTGTTCGATGAGACAGACCAGGCTCGCGTTCCCCGTGGATCGGGACAGTGTCTGCCGAGGCGGCGCGGGGTCTTAATTCATGGGGATCGCAGATGGAGCTGACTGACGATGTTGCCCTTTCTCAACATTCAGCGGCCGGCTCTGTCGGTCCCGTTCAGGAGTCGGAAGCCCGCTCACCGGCTTCTTCCGCCCAGGACGAGGACCCGATGCTCGAATTATCTGAATCTGAGGATTTAGATATTTTGGGCATTGAGGAAGGAGAACCTGAGGACTCGCCACCTCATTCTCCTGCCTTCGAGGAGCTGCTGGAGGTTGTGACCAGAGCAGTGGCCAAATTAAACATCGATTGGCCATCAGAAAAGCAGGAAGCGCTTAAGAAAAGTAAATTAGATAAACGTAGCCTGCAGGCTCGGGCACAGCATTCGCTCCGGAGCCTCCCGTTTTTCACGATCTCCACACTGAGGTGTCAAGATCGTGGAACAAGCCGTTCTCGTCACGATTATCGAGAACGGCTATGGGGTGATGCCGCGGGTAGAAGAGACACTGGCAATGTATCTTTCACCCGACGCTGCGTCATCCCTAAAGGCTCCGGTTCTGCCCTCCAAACCCTGCCGTACAAAGTCAGCATTGGTGGGCAAGGCATATATGACGGCGGGTCGGGCTGGTGCATGCCTGCACACGATGGGGAACATACAGGCATACCAGGCCGACCTCCTAAAATAAATGGACAACAACGGGGAGGTCACCCTCGACGATGTTAAAGAGCTCCGTCGAGCGGCAGACTTGTCTCTCCGTGCTACCAAGGAGACGGCCGTGCCCTGCAAAAGGCCTGGGGTCCGATACAGCACTCTCAGCCAAGTCCTCCAAACCGAAGGCAGATCTGAGGACTGTCATTCAGGCTAGGAAGGCTTTGGCAAAGAGGTCCTGACGTGATGCTCAGGCCTCTGAGGACGGTCCCCCCTGCGAGAGAGCAACAACATCTCGCTCCTTCGCTGAGCCCTCAGGAAATCGATGTATGCTTCCCGCTGCCTTGTGCGCTACGGGACGCATCGGTTTCCAGCGAATGTATATCGCAGTGTCCACCCGAAAATGTTGCGGTCCTGTCTAGTTCGCTTCCTCACATGAGGCCTGTAGAAAATATAAATCGGTTGTTTCCTGCCAATCAATTGCTTCAGGGCACCGAAACCATGCAACACACAACACCCGAGGTCAGTCTCGAGAGACTGATCCCCCTAGTAGGATATCTAGACATCTGGAAAGGTCTTCAAAATATATCTCAGTGGGTCCTGCGCACAGTGGAACATACCAATATCTGGTTCTTCCATTCAGCCTAGCATTGTGCCCTCGCACCTTCACCAAATGCATGGATGCTGCTCTAGCTCCACTAAGATTCAACTATATCGACGGCTGGCTCATTCTAGTGCAGTCAGAGGAGATGGTGGTTCGGCATCGAGATGTCCTGCGCCATCTGAGGTGCTTGGTGCTGAAACTCAATGTCAAAAAGAGTTCACTAATTCCTCTACAGAGAACTACATTCCTGGGGGTAGTGTGGGACTCCAATATCAAAGCTAAGCCAGGCCATCAATATCGAACACTTTTGGGAGTTCTGGGGCTCCAGGCAGCAGCGTCCAACGTGATACCTTTTGGCCTGCTGTACATGAGACCCCTACAGTGGTGGATCAGGGCCAGAGCGTTTACCCCGAGGGTGAACCCATTTTGCACAATCAAAGTAAACGCGCAGATGCCTTCGTTCTTTGGTCATGTGGAAGAGACCATGGTTCCTGTCCCAGGGCCCTGTGTTGGGAGCACCATGTCACAGAAGTATAGTGACTACGGATGCATCCCTCACAGGCTGGGGAGTCATGGAGGGCCGCTATACCAGGGGTCTTTGGAAGGACCATCATCTTTCATGGCACATCAATTGCCTGGAGATGTTGGCAGTGTTTCTGGCTCTGAGACACTTCCTTCCGGACCTCAGAGGCCATCATGTTCTAGTACGAACAGACAATATGTCGGTGGTCTCATATACTGTATAAATCGGCAGGGGGGTCTGAGATCGCGCTCTCTATCCAGACCGGCGCATCAGGTCCTTCTGTGGTCCCAGAGCAAACTACTCTCACTCAGAGCAATGTTATTCCCACAAAAAATGTGGGGGCAGACATCCTGTCGAGGCAGGGGCGGAGGCCTGGAGAATGGAGACTCCATCCCGAGACAGTGGAGTTGATATGGAGAAAGTTTGGGCAGGCGGAAGTGGATCTGTTCGCCTCTCACGAGGACACACACTGTCCGCTTTGGTTTTTCCTCATGGTTAGGGTTTCCTCAGGGTTACAGACAAGGGTTACAGTTGTATTTTACAGTTAAATTAGTTTTTATTATTGTATTTTCGGTTCTCATTTTAATTAAAATTTAAAATAAAATTTGATTTGAGCAAAGTTTTAGTAAATTTGTTGTTTTTGTCATTTTTATTAGCCTTTGATTTTTTTTAAATATATTATTAGTGTGTTTTAATATAGGTTTTTGTTTCAGTTTCAGATATTTTAGCACATTAAGTTAACGAAGATGAAAAATTTAGCTTTAGCAGCCAGCTGAAAAAAATAAGGCTTTTTATAGTTTTTATATTTATATTGTATTTATCTTTATTTCAGTTATTATTATTTTATATAGAGTAACACATATATTTTTTCTGAATTAATTTTAGATAACTATAATAACCTGGGTGGGGGTCATTTAAAATTCAGACCGTTTTAGTCAGCCTTTATTATTGTATTTTGTGAAAACAAATGGATTTTTCAGACACACATGTCCTGAAAGTGCCCCTGAATTGATGAAATTAAAGCACAATTTCCACAGACAGACAATCAAATACATTTAAAATAACAATAATATTATGTAAAGAATAAGTATAAAAATGTAATGTCATTGTGATAAAAAAAAAAAGACTGTTTTCAGAATGACATTTTTTATTGAAAATGGACAGAGAGATGTTTAAGACACTCTTTAGGTTTAGGGGTGAATTTTCATGGTTCACAACAAATCGTACATTTTCATACTAATCAGATTTATACTGATTAATACAAGTTGCCAACTCATACAATAAATACAAATTCTCATGAATCTGAGGTTTAAAGCTGCAGTATGGAAGTGTTTTTGGTTAAACGTGAAATATTAATAACCTGTATAATGTGAGCATGTCTTTTTACTGTATAGCACAGTGAAATGGATTAAATATGGAATCGTTAAATCTGACTCTTTCAGTGTGATACATCTGTTACACGACTTAGGACTTTACTGTAGATTTAATGACAAATTGCTAATTAGATCTACTGTAATATTACATTCTTAAATTAAAGTTAAAAGAGAAGTCTGTCCTCTACCAATAAAATCAGACGTTAAACAAATGTGACCCTCCCTCCTGTCTCTCTCTCTCTCTCTCTCTCTCTCTCATCCTGCAGGCTAGACAGAGCGGAAGCAAGCTGCAAGCATCCAGCATCCATCTGAAATCTCAGGAAAAGCTGGAGAAGATCCATCATTCCCAAGGTGAAGCTGGTAACAGCAGCAGAGAGAAGACGAGGAAAGGAGGAGGAAGAGGGAGAAGACGCGGCCATGATGGGCACACCTCTCCGGAGGAAAGACCCGGTATACGAGTGAGTTCTTCCATTTTTCCTCGCCCTCCCTCTGTAGGGTTGGACATCACGGACAGGTTGCCATAGCAACGGCAGCCAGGGAAGCAGGAGGATGATGATGATGATGATGCAGCTGCTGTCTGCAGTCATAGACTCCTCCTGAACAGCGCAAATGCATGTATTGTGTCACAGTGTCATTGGCAATGAAATTGTAAGAATGAATGAACATTCAGTATGATGAGTTCGGATTTAGATAATGTAGACTTTCTACTATCTTATCTTTTGGGGTGTTGGCCCTTATTCAATAGGAAATGGATGGACAATTAATGTCAGAGTTTTAAAATAATAGAACCTGGAATATTCTTAAAGTCATGACGTTGAAATTGCAGGCTCCAACCAATGGTGCATTTCCTGAAAGCATCGTTAGCCAACTATGGTCGCGAGTTCTGTCATTAGTAACATAGTTCAACGATTCAGTGTTTTCCCAAACCATTCTTTCTACGAACATTCACGAACAGTACTGCAGCTTTATGCCCGGTACACATTGTACGATTTTGGGCTGTCCCAGGTGAAAGATGGCCAATCGTGGCTCCTAAACGGTGGTCCTACATGTACTTCGCACAGTGAGAGAGGTTCAAAGACGGCCGTTGTCACGGTCTTGCGACCAAAGATAGTCTGCGATAATTTTCTGACAGTGTCATAAATTTAGCATGATCATCTCACAGTGTGTTTGCTACGACCTACGTCTACTGACTAGCGGATAAAACTGCAACATGAAATGGCGTATTGATCAACACGATATGGCGCTAAAATTTAAAACTAATTTCCTCAAGCTCCATTTGCTAAATATATCCCAAGTTGGACTCTTTTCCCAAGCCATGACTGCATCCATATTCTCCTCTTTCGCTTACTCCTTTGTTTTCAGCTCACATAAAAACCACAATTGCCAAAGTGTGATTCATCCTGCTCTATTTGTTTACCACTAGCACATGCTAATGACGTTTTATTCTTCTATATCTTGCATCATAGACTACAATTCAATAGTTATCATCATCGAACAGTCTAGATACATGTCGTACCCAAGTTTATTAGACCCATGTCGTACAGTGTGATTTGTAATGAAATCGAAACAGACAGGATAAAGCATGATGGATTCTTATTGGCTGTCAATGTTTGTATCGTTCATCAGCTGGGGGAAAAAAGTGATTCCGACGATATCGTTATTGTTATAGTTGTGTGGACTCTTTTGAGGTTCTTTCATATTAGGACGATTTTTAGATGTGTTTATAGTTATAGTTATTGTCCTTTTTGTGAACAAGCCTTAAGAGTATAAGAGGAAACCCACGATTGAATCAAATAATGCAAAGAACAGAGAACAAAAATTGCAAAGTAGTCCTCAGATGACATGTTCATTATTTACAGCAATAATCCTACAATAATTTCTTCTTGAACTGATTAATTAGCAGATGTTATTACATCATTAATGACAGTTCTACTGTATATTGTTGAACCAACATTGTTTTATTTAGTTTTTAGTTTTATTGATTTATATGGCTCATTTAATAGCGACTGAGTCGACCAAAGTGCGACATAAAAGTAAAATAAAAACAAATAAAGATCACACGTAGTAAAGTAGTCACAGTTCTGTTCAGTTTTAGTTTTCATGGACTTTGTTTGTTTTCATCAGTCATATGTGTTCCCTTTGCTCTAGTTTCTCGCCACTCATCAGTCTCTATGGACACTAACACTAATCGTTGTCTATTTAAATAAACCTTGTGTTATGTATTCATCATCTTCGTCTTCTGTGGATTTGAGCGTTACAGAAGTATTAAACAGCAAACTTACTCTAGCCCATAAGCCGTTTTAAAAAGCCAACTATGGCGACTTCTGCTTCTGAGAACCAGTTTCGTGAGGTCCATTGTTCGGCAAATTTCCGCTGGCGAAATCCAGTCATCCATGTGATCAGGAATTTCACTTGAAGACAAAAGTAATTTTGCATCAGGTTCAATTTGGTCATGTGGATTCACCATGTTGACTGACACAAAGCTCAGTATGAAACTTCCACCATTGACAACAGACAATTGGCTCTTTTTGACCCTTTTCACCAAAATTTTGCATATACATCCTAAGTTTTGTTGTAGACATTTTGAGCTAATAAAACATAATAATAATTGTCTATGTGTAGCTGTATTCAGTAAATAACCATGTAATTAATGGGTAAAGTACAGTCAACCAGTCATCAATCGTGAAAACAAAAGTAAACTCCTTCAGGGTGATACGAGACCTACAGTACTCGCTCTGCGGGGTTATTTTGATATTGATCAGCAGACTGTATATTAGTAATAAGCAATTACTTACAAATGATATTCAAAATGTAATGGACATTTTGGATCTCATTTGTAAGTAATTGCTTATTGATTGTGCCAGATCAGTGCCAACGTGTTCCCTTGAAAACAACTCCAATGTAACACAACAGCTAAAACTAGGCTATGGGCGAGTTTACAACTGTCATTCACGTTAAACTGTCTAAATTTACATTCAGGAATTTGCACAAACCACTAAAATTAGCAATTTATCTCGCTGTGGCTGTGTGACGGTGTTGCAGTCTCGTTCGAGAGTGCTGTCTTGATAATAAAGAAGGCCTGGAGCCATCTCACCAAAGAATGCCTTTGAGTTTGAACCGAGCACTTGTGTGACTGCAGCTGTCACATTCCAGACACATGCAAAATTAGCAGCAGTCACAGCACAGCAACTGGCGGCCTGTAGGATAAACACTACGGACAAATCCTCAGAGCTAAACACCACATTAATCTTATTTATAATGATATATATGTGACATATAGCAGTTGTGTTACCTGATATAGCAGCCCAATGAATGTCATTACATTAGATTAAACTTGAAGGTGCAGTAGGCGATTTCTGAGAAAGCGAATCAGACCGAGCAGCACAACACACTTGTAGCCAATCAGCAGTAGGGGGCGTGTCCAAACATGATGGGGCGGAGAGAGAGTGAGCCAATCAGCAGTAGGGGGCGTGTCCAAACATGATGGGGGAGGAGAGAAAGTGAGCTAATCAGCAGCAGGGGGTGTGTCCACACATGATGGGGGAGGAGAGAGAGTGAGCCAATCAGCAGTAGGGGGCGTGTCCACACATGATGGGGGAGGAGAGAAAGTGAGCTAATCAGCAGTAGGGGACGTGTCCACACATGATGGGGGAGGAGAGAGAGTGAGCCAATCAGCAGCAGGGGGTGTGTCCACACATGATGGGGGAGGAGAGAGAGTGAGCCAATCAGCAGCAGGGGGCGTGTCCACACATGATGGGGGAGGAGAGAGAGTGAGCCAATCAGCAGCAGGGGGCGTGTCTACACATGATGGGGAGGAGAGAGAGTGAAGAGAGACTGTAGAAAGAGAGATGGCTGAGAGACATTACAAAAGAGAAAAGGTCAGGGGAATATGGTCATGATCAGGCAAGAGCTTTAGAACCCGAGACGAAATTAGAAAAGCTTTCCAGGGCTGGAGAGACCTGAGCAGGAAGGCCTGAAAACGGATGTCGAGGTTCCGTTGTTTCTGCTCCATGCGTGGGTAATATTGGTTTTGAGTGTCATTGTTTGTTTGGAGCTGCTAGCCACTAATAACAGTGCTGCACACTGGTGGTGGTTGAGGAGAGATTCCCTGATATGATTGTAAAGCGCTTTGGGTGTACAGTGGTACATATGAAAGCGCTATATATAAATGCCTCCTTCAATAACGAACACTTGCTTGCATAAACTCTTTTGTACTGTATGTTCATTTTTTGTTCTTCTTTGTCATTCGTTCATGATCTACGCTTTATTTTTGATGAAGCATTATTTTGCTTCGCTTCAGCTATGATGAGGAGACATCCACTCTTGCATTGTGTTCGTGCATTTTGGGGGCGGTGCAATGAAGGGAGGAGTCAGTTTCAGATGTCAACAGGGTTTCTCATAAATCGCTTACTACACCTTTAAGTGGCATTTATTTGAAAGAAAACTGCAAAGCGCACTTTTCAAGTGGTTCACACTAGTCTACAAGAAATGTATTAGGTTTTAAATGATAAAACAACACATGTATTGTTTGAAATGAAAATAATACAATTATACAACCTAGATGCTGCCATCTTTGCTCAATTTTGAATTGCTTTTGTAACCAGTCACCTGAGTCGGCCCGTAAACGACATTTTCATGACGTAACTGCACACAACATGCATCGCTCTCCATTAAATTCCATTGTACACAGTGTTCCATTGAGATGAGTTGTAGATATAGACGAGTCTGATTATAGATCTCTTTGGGAGGTGCAGGAAAAGGACAGTACAACACTGACTGGATGATGGCACCACAAGTCTAAAGCAGCAGACTAGAAAGATATAAATTGAGACCTCCAAAAAAATCAAGGAATGGTCAAATATCTGCTTTACAATGAAATTATAATGTTAAAATGTTAATTCACTGAGAGTTAAGTATTATAATCCCAACTGACAGCACACTATTTAAACCGTTCAGAAGAAGCCAGACCAAGAGATGTGACAATCTCCAGAACAACTGCAGCCATAAACACAGAAAACAGCAGGCCACCGTTATCATTGCAGGAGACGGAGTTGGATGGGTAACTCGTTCTTGCTTTTGGAGAAACTACTCTCTCCCATTAACACCATTCCAACAAAGAATGTGTTTCCCCTTGGAAAACGTCTCAGGTTACGTATGTAACCCTGGTTCCCTGAGAGGGAACGAGACGCTGCGTTTGAGACGCGGTGGGAACGCTCTGCGTGATTGCGTCATGAAGCACGTGTAAAATCAGTCCAATGGAAGCCCGATACGTCATGGGTGACGTCATAGACCAGGAAACTATAAAGCACCCTTGAAAACAGACCGCGACAGCTTCTGAAAAAGTCTGAAACAAGTTATCAGGGCATGCAGGAAGTATGGCAGGCAAACGCAGCGTCTCGTTCCCTCTCAGGGAACCAGGGTTACATACGTAACCTGAGACGTTCCCTTTCAAGGGAAC